CATTTCCTCATCTTCTCTGACTCCCTTAAGATTAGAAGACCCGAAAAGGCTGGCCTTGGACTGTGGTGGGAAGGGCATGGCGGGGAGCGCCGCAGAACTAAGACCTCTGGCCCGGCGGCGCCGCGCCATCTCCTTCCCTCTAGGTCTCAGCCGGGGGCAAACTGCTCCGCAGGTCACCAGACTTTCACCCAGGAGCACACAATACTCTAGAAAATCAATCGGGGCGAGGTCTAAGACATGAGCCTTCCAGGCACCTGGCACTTGGGCTTTTGGAGATAACGTCCTTCCACCCTTGCAGAGGTTGACGGTCTGTGTCTCGGCCTCCAGTTCCTGGTGAACTGAGAGAAAGCAGCCAGTGCCCTTGGCCATCCGGGACCTAGTGATCGCCATGCACTTATGTCCTCAGAGATCCAGGGTACAGAGGAGTGGGACAGCTAGGACTGGCTGGGGGCGGGAGGGTCGGCGGGGCTGGGGTCGGCGGGGCTGGAGTCGGGAGTGAGGAAAGCAAGCGAAGAGTTGGAAGGACCCGAGGAACCATCGAGGCCGCGTCCGGCTCTCCCCAGTGGCGCCCGTCACCTTCAGGATCCCGGCGCTCAGCCAGCTGCCCCTCAAAACTGCAGGCTGGCTCCGCGGTCCCGGCTGGGTCGCAAACGCAGCCCTTTTCAGTCGCTCCAGGTTTCCCCGTGGCGTGCCCAGAAGCCATCGCCCGTGTTCTGCTGGGAGCCTATTCTCCAGTTCTGAATTTCCACCACTGTCCGGAATTCTTTGGAAGACAAAATGTTTTGCGTGCATTCATCGTACCTGAAATACCAGTCAGGAAACTGGGCAAAAACGTAGGCAGATCTTTAGAGGAAAGGTCAAGAGACACTCGGGCCCTGCAGAGTTCCACCGTGAGGAGCCAGGTCCACCCTAGCGAGGCGAGGACACCGCTAACGTTTACCGAGTCGTCCCCGCAGCCGGGACTTGGTAACAACTTCGAAGGTGCGGGCACGTCGACGTGGTAAAACGCCTCACCGCAGTGTCTCAGGTTTGAACACGAGATACACTTTCCCCAAGATTTGTCATGGAGTTTTATCCCTTCAGAATTGTTGGAAGTGAGTTATGGATTTGGTAACTCAAATTTTCAAGTTTTCTTTTTAACGTTATTCAGATAATGACATTATCTATTTCTTTTTTTGTCAAAAAACCTCTCCCAGGAGACACTTAAGGGTCTTTCTTACTTAATTTCCGACCAAACGACATTTCACTTTTTGGTCCCATTATTGCATTATTTCAGGTGAGAAAATGTTCCAATTGGTCTAAATAATTGCTTGAATTAGTGTAAACTGAACATTTGGGCTTAACAGCTCAGCTCCTGCATAGAAAGGGAGGTGGCCCCTGGGAGAAGGAAGAGCTCCCCTTGCCCCCCCCCCCCCCCCCCCAGGGACCCTTCTGCCCTTCCCTGTGGATGCCACTTCCCCCTGCCCCCATCCTGCCTCCTTGGTCTGAGCCGGTCTCCCAAGGATCTTTTCCAGGGGCCCTCTCCTTGGGAGAAGGAGTGAGGAGAAGAGAGGTAGGGGAGAATTCGAGGGCAGAACTGGTGTCACTGGCGGCAGTGGGGGCGCATGAAGCAAGCAGCTGCTGTGAGAATGACCAGCTTTCTATGGGTGGCTCCCTCCACCCTGGACAGATGGTCTGTGAACCTGGGGCTGTGACCCACACGGCCTTTGTCCACGCTTCGTGATACCAGGGGAAAAACACCATCATCCTCAAGTTTCCCAGCAACAGCTTGTTTTGGTGTAGACACTGTCTCCTATCAATATGAGGTTTTTTTTTTTTTTTTGAGCAAAGTCTAAGAAAGCAAAGGGAAATAAGAAACTGAGAACATTATTCGGTTACACAGTCCCAGTGGACAATCCAGCACTTCTCCCTCCCCCCATACTCAGGGTTGAGCTGAGAAGGATTTTAAGCTTCAGTTTCTGAAATTGCTGTTGACATTCTCTGACATCAACTTCCCCTTTCTCTCTCTTAATTTTTACTGTTTCCTGGAGCTCTTCTGAGGCAGAGTCTACACCGGCAAGGAGAGTTGTGATGGGGTAGAGGGTGAAGGAACACTATTTTAGGCCAACTGGGTCTCACAGAAAGTTGGTTCCAGTCCAGAAGCATGAGGCTGGGGGAGAGCATGTGTGGCAAAAGGCCTGATGTGTGGTGCTCCGAAGGCCAGCCCCTGGGAGAAATACAGACACACACCCTGGCGACCCCTCAGCTCCGGGTCGGGGAAAGGACAGGCAGAGAAATCTAGAAAAGCAAAGAAGTTAACGATGTTTGGCCGTCTGGGGGCTTATCAGTGTGCTGGGGTCAGGCGGGGGCCGAGGCGACGTGCTCAGGCAGACGCGTTGGGTGGGGGCCTGCGCAGGTGAGGAGGGGCCACCCTGGGGGCTGCCTGACCCAACCTGGGACCAGTTGGCGGCTGGGCTCGGGGACGGGCCTTTCCGGAGCCTCCAGGTGGCAGGAAGGGGGTAGCTGGTGAAATATTAACCCCTTCTGGGTTCTGAGGGCGGGGAATCAGTCCTTGGAGGACCTGGAGAAGGAGAGGGAGGAGGCTGCCACCCCTTCTTCCCCGCAAACTGGGATTCACTTCCCAACCCTCCGAACCCCCAACCCCTGGGCGGTGGAACGGTGCAAGTTCTCAGGTTTCCTCTGCCTCCTGGCTCCTCCTCCCCAAGAGAGAAGAGGAGTCGCTCAGCCCGGTTGGGGGGTGGGGGGAGGAGATCAGAAATCTCCTTCCGTTTGGCAGGGGATGCCTCAGGCAGGGCACAAGTCTTAAAGTGAACAGGGGGTGAGCTGAAGCGGTTTATGGGAACCCCCTCTCCACAGCCCTGAACCTCAATCCCGACAGCCACTGTGGGGTGGGGACACCCAGAGCCCCCTCAGCGGTCTCCCGCGGTTCAGCGTGCGTCCGGGCCTGGCCAGTGCTAGGGGAAGGAGGGCTGGGTCTCGGATCTCGGGAGGGATGCCTGGCAGGCTGGGGAGTCACGGAGGCGTTTACTGGTCGGGTGGGGTGAAGTTTCCCAGCCTCCATCTCCGCACCCTTGGCCACGCTCGGAGCGAGTGGGTGGGGTCCCGCCTCAGGTATCTTCCTGCGGTGAAGCAGGTTTCTGACCTCAGTGCCATCCTGGCCTTGCTCCGGAGGGTAAACATCCTCTGCACGTTGGAAACTGGTGGGACTAGCAAGGCGAGGGGGTAGCCAGGAGAGGGAGGGAGGAAAGGAGTGGGGCCGAGAGGAGGGAAGTTCTGAAACCCTCTTGCTCTCTCCTGCTAGGAATCCAGCGGTGGCCTTCCTTGGGGGCAGCCACTCTGCCCACTCCAGGCCAAGGAAGGAACATCCCTTGGGGCGTTGTTTCTCTCGTCCCAGATAAAGATAAAGTTCACTGGGGCCTCTCAAGCAACTTTGGAAATGGTCCCAAGCTTGGGGGATGGGGGGAGCAGATAAGGGCTGGGAGCTACCAGCCTGATTCCCAACCCCTCAGAATCACCTGAAGGACATCCCTCCGAGGGGAGACTGGGAATCCGTGAAGGGCTGAGGGTGCATGCAGGACAAGAGTGGAAATCTTCACTCCTTAGGAAGGACTTGGTCACTAAACTTTATGAACCTGATTACTATGGCTATCATTTTTAATGTTGAAGAAGGTGTGGAGGGAACCTGTTTGACTCCCAATTCGAAGCCATTCTTGGGCCATAAGCCCAGGAGAGAGAAACTGTGAGGTCAGACAGATCCAGCATAAGCCCGGATCCCACTTCCCATCAGCTTCGGGTCCCAGCAAGTGTCTTCATCTGCCTGAGCACAGTCTCCTCGCCTGTAAAAGGGAGATAATCCTACAGCTACAGAGGAGATGCTGGAGTCAAATCAACACAGGGACGCACCTAGCACAGCATAACCCAGCTCTCAGCGGCTGCAATAGTGTCCCGCTAGCCTCAGCTTCCTCTCAGACCTTGCCAAGGCTTCCATTGCACACGTCCCAGAGAAACCTTCTGCCTCATGCCCTCTGCCCAGTCGCAGCCAAGTGACTAGAGTGACTGAGAAGCGAATCAAAGAAGAAACACCCAACTCCACTCTTCTCCACAGCCCCCTGAGCAGAAGGAAGAGAGGAAGGGAGGGGGAGAGGGAGGGAGGGAGGGAGGGAGAGAGGGAGAGAGCTCAGGAGCTCAGTTGCCTTTTCTCTAACGTCCAGGAGACAGCCCTCCACCAAGAGATCTAACGACTCTGAGAAGGGGCAGATGTAGCAATTTGTAGCTACTGTGGGCAGAGACACTCCCAGCAGCCTGTGTTTTCAGCACCCCATTTACATGGAAGACAAAAATAACTCAGGAGAGGGACCTGGCTGAAAGCTCTTCCTGGGTTTAGGACATCAGAAGAGCTTCTTGGAGCTCATCTCCGGACTAGCTGTGAGCCGGATTTGCTGAGCGTGTTTCCTACTCTGTGAAACCGGGGTAACTGACGTTCCTAGCCTGTCTTCCTCTAGAGTTCTTATGGGAGCAGCGACAGGAGGGAGGTGACCCCATTGGAAGTCTCTGTTCCCCTGCGTGGCTTTAAACTGATGTTCATACTGGAAACTAATTCCGAGCACACGGTTCAAGTTCAAGCAACCGTGGTCCCAGAAGGGCCGCACCGAGGTCCCGCGTGGCCTTGGAGGCACCGCAGTGTTCTGTCTTGTCTCCGACACATATTGGTTTACTGCGCCTCTCGGACCCAGTTTTCTCACCTGTAAATGGGCATCGTAGCCCCCTCATCGGGTGGTTGGGGGGATAATAAAGCTCGTAAAGTGCTTTGCCCCGGCGCTTGGCACATAATACGCGCTAAATAAACCCCAGTGACACGAATTCTTAAGTGGATACCGGAGGAAGCCGATTTCCCTCCTCCTGGGGAGCCGACTCCACCTCGGCGGCTTTGGGAGGAGAGCGACAGGGAAGCGGCGGGTGGCGGCCCCGCGCTGAGCGTTTCCACTGCGCGCGCAGGCGCAGCTCCCCGCGCCTCCGTCCTGCTTCTCCCGGCCGGGGCGGATCCTCCGCAGACCTCGCTGGCGCGAAGGCCCGGCTTCTCCTGCCGGGAGCCCTTGGGCCCCGCGCAGCCGGCAGCTGCAGGGCCGAGTTCCCGGTCCGGGCGCCGGTGGTGCCGGGAGGCGCTCGGGCGGGACAGCGCGTGTGAGGGTGTCGGCGAAGCACGCAGTGAGTAACGGTCGACCCGGGATTCCTCTCCGCCGAAGAGCGCGGGGCTCAGCGCCCCGGGTCAGCCGTACTCAGAACAGCAACACGGGCCTGTGTCGTGGGGAGCGAGGTGTTCTTCTCCCCGCGTCCTAATCTCCAATTCCCGGCAAGTTCGCCCGGCTGCGCCTTTCCCACGCGCACCTTCTCCAGCAGAATCTCCAAACTAGTCCCGCACAGGCCTCGCTCTCTCCTGGGGACCCCCAGCCCCACCTGCCCTCTAAGTTTTCCCTCCAGAGACGGGGAATAGAGGACTTGCTCCAGTCACGCCCTCCACCTCCACTTTCCCGGGCTCCTTCTGACAAGTGGTATTTCCCGGCAAAGTCCCCAGAAGCAGAGCAAATGAAAACGCTAGGAGAAAAAGGATTGGTTATAGGATCCGAATCCAGTAAACGACTCCTCTTTCCTTCTCCTGTCCTTCCCTCCCCTCAAAAAGGCACGTTGGAGAATAATCAGGAAATTTCAAATAACCAGGAAATCTGTGGAGGAATGGGGACCCAGAAGGGAACAGCCAATCCAACAGCTGGCTTTTCTTCTCTCAATAGGAGCCCAGTCCTTCTATCGGATATGAATATAGCTACTGTGCATCTCTCCACGAAATATAAATTTTCCAACGAGGCGGCAAGGGTATGAATTTTCATAGGTACCTCGGATCCTAGAGACATCAAGAGGCTGCAGGTCATAAGAGGGTCTAACAAGGCCGTGTCCACATACAACCACGTTATTACATGAAAACCAGAGATATTTATTCAGATCTTTCTTGTTTAAAAAAAGGGAGGAAAAAAGTCTGTTGAAATATCCAAAGAATTGAAACTATTCGTAAATATATTAATCTCACTGGGCCTCCGGTTGTGCTGGTGGGTGTGGCAGACAGAATCACGGATGTCAACTGCTGTGTCTTGGTCTAAAAACAAAAATACCCCCCCCCAACCCACCTTTGAGCCTCTGCTTCTCAGCTATGAAATGGAAAGAACTCAAGTCCCCTTTAGACTGTGGGAGCTCTGCCAGGAAGGGACTGTGGGAATTGACATGGGGGGAGGGAATGAGAAGTGCAGCAGACAGTGAGGCAGAGGCCCCGAGACTAAGTCCTGGCTCTGTGTCTTTGATCTCCCCTGGCCTCAGTTTTCTCATCTGGAAGATGGGGATAATACTGATCTCACAGGACTGCTGAAGAATAAACAAAGGAATAGCCGTGAAAATGCTGTATCATTATCAGACTCTCCTCAGTCTGTGCCAAATGAAAGACCATGGCAAGGAGAGCAAGGGTCCAGCTCGGACCCCAGCCCAGGGATGGGTATGAGCATCCCCATGGCTACTTGATTCCCTATACGTGGGCTTAGCTGGCTCAGTCTCTCTCTCTGCCGGATCCAAGGGGGAAGTGAGAGTCCATTGCAGTGGGCCGGCCTCAGCCCCTATTTGCTTTGGCCATGTTGCGACGGCCCTGCTGGGTTTGCCAACAGGATTTCGGTGTTTGCTCTCCCGTCTGGCATGGCTGCTGAGGCAGCTGGCATTCTGCTCCCAATTATCGTGCTGACCAATGTTGCTCACAGCAAAAGGGATCTGTCTCAGCGCTGCCTGCTCCACTTCCTGCTGCTTCTGCCCCCTTCTCAGACGGACAGGGTCCCTTTTTATTATCATTCCTAAGACTCCTAGGCTTGAGAAAGCAGGGTGGTGGAGAGACACCACAGTCACAGTCTTTTCCTTTAAATGGCTGCCCAAGAAGTACATTCTCAAAGATTAAGAGGAACCAGGAAATAAACCAGGAAAAGAACTCAATGAGCCAGAGAAGCCAGGCACCAATCCTGGATATAAAAGGACTTGTTTTGCTCTTCCACGTTTCTTTCCTTGTGCCTTTTTGGAACAGTGGATGTCCGGGAGTAAAGAGGAAGGGGGTCCTTGCTGAAGGTCACCCCAGACCAGTCAGAGCCCATGGTTTGGGAGAGTTATGGCGGAAGCGTGATTGGCAGGTGCCTGATGGGAAGAACACATGCTCAGAACAAAGACAACCCCTCCCACCCCAAGGCAGCTCCTGGAGCCTCCAGCCACCTCCCCAGCACACCGTGTATGCTCGGAAACATGTAACACCCTCTATGTGACACGTGGCCTGCTTGGCTTTCTGACGCTGCTGGTTAATAACTTAAGAGTCATGGCAGGAGAATGCAAAATAATTTAAAGCAATGCTTCATAAATTGCAGTTCCAAGGTCTTCATTGCCTTCCTAACAATATGCAAAACCCGTTTTATTGCTTTTTTAGATTCCTTGAGTTGAAATGCCACTGTGTGCTGTAATTAAGCTAAGTGACATGCCAGCTGTAAAGACAGGAGTTGTGAATGATTACATTCAGCTCATGTAATAACCCAGGATGGGTCGGGGACAACGCTTGGAACAGCTGCCAATCTGCCTGACTCGCCTTCCCTGCCAGAGTAGAAGGAAAACTGGAATCTGAAATCGCCTTTTAAGGCTGGGGGAGAGTTCCCTGGCCTGTTCCAGGCGTGTTAGGGGCTGTCCAGTGTGGGGTGAGCCAGAAGTGGCTCCCAAACAGAGCTATGCATCAGAACCCTCTGAGAGAGCTTTCTAAATACAGGTCAACACCCCCACCCCTGACTAATTTGGGCCGGGGGGTGGGGGCCACATGTCGTTTGAGCTGCCCAGGTAGTTCTGAACCTGGGGACCAAGAAAGCCTGCCCAATCAAGATGGCTATTTTTAACAACTTGGTCTTTAGGAAAATCATTTTTGTGTTTGGAAACCTTTCCTTCAGTATTGCTCTTTTAAATCCATCTGGGGACAGGAATTCATACAGCAGCTTTATGAAACAGAACCCGGATCTCCATCCTCCAAAAGCTCCTCTTCCCAGTGTTTCTATTTTCTCTCAGGGGCCTCCGTTCTTTTGAAGCCATCTTTCTTGCTCCCTTTCTGTTCTCCCCTCCATTTGTCCAGCTGCCACGTCCCAGCTCTACAGTGTTTCTCTCACCTGCCTCCTGCTTTTCCTCCCCACAGTCAGCCATCCTAACAGGGGCTGCAAGGGCTTGACCCTGGGCCATCATCCGAGCCTCCTAATGCTCTCCCACCTTCAGTCTCTTGCCTTGCCAATCATCCATCCTACCATCTACTACCAGATTCATCTTTCTAACACTGAAATCTCTCTCCCATTCAAAAACCTTCAGTGGTTTCCCATTGCTCACTTGAACAAGGCAAACACTTCCCAGGATAACATTTTAGACCCTCCACAATATTAACTCATTCAGTAAATATTTAATGAATTCCTGTTATGTCCGAGGCACTAGGCTAAACTCGGGAGATATAAAGATGTAAAGACGTGGTACGGTCCAGTGGGGAGACAGCCATGCAAACGAGTCCACCATCATGAGGAGTGCAGTAATGGCAATTTAAACAAAGGGCCCTGGGGTCACCAATATGGTCTCTTAAGCTATCTTTCCCCTGTCATCTCCCAATTTTCCTTTCTGGTCCAACCAAATTGGACTAGACTACTTCCTGATCATGTTCAGGGTTGTTATTTTCTTCCAGGCCTCCATACCTCAGTCCCACACTTCATGTCCACTTTTTAAAATCCTATTTATTTTTCCTGCCACCTCAAATATCGCCTTCTCCAATGAAGTGGACTACATCCTCCCAGCTGGGTGTGTGAGGGCATTTCCTTCTCATCTACTGACACTTTTTTAGTCGCACTTAACTCAGGATTGTTCTTCGTGGACCTGTCTTACTGCACTGCACACTCCACGGGGGCAAGGACTGCCAAAAGCATTTTTTGTCCCCCACAAGCATTCAGTAGAGAGTTGCTCTGCAGAGCCCTGTGGGTGAAGAGGCAGGAGGTGGGTGGGCCTAGGAAGGCCGCCTGCCGTTTTGCCTTTTCCCTGGATAATCCAGAGCTGTTAGTCTCCAGGCAGGACGGGCTACATCATTTGGCAGGCCCAGTGCAAAATGAAAATGCAGGGTTCCTTGTTCAAAAATTATTCACAATTTCAAGAGCATTAAACAGAGCATTAAACCAAGTGCAGGGCCCTTCTAAGTATAGGGCCCTGGTGACCGCATAGATTGCACGTCCATGAAGCTGACCTGTTTCTAGGATCAAAGGTGCTGGTACCAAACTGTCCCTTGGGAAGACAAATAACTCTGACTTCACCTTATTAAGAGACTTCCTTTTTATCATCAGGAACCTTGACTGCCTGGAGCTGGTGACTAGGGAGGAAAAGGCAGAGCTGTAGAGCTTCTGGGAAGCCCCATTTAGCAAGTCTTACATCTTCTGCCTGGGCCGGGTTATGATGCATGACAACCTGATAGTGACAATGGGAGAACCGGCCTCAGATCAGTCTATTTTGAGCCTTCTAAATGGCATCGAGAATGGGCTAGTGAAGGGGTAGCGGGGGACGACTTGAGGTGACAGTTAAGCTTTTACTAGTCTGCCCAGTGATAACCAGGGCTTCCTTCTTCTGCCATCCAGGTGGGCATTGACTTAATTACTAAAAAGAACCCTACACTAGCAGCCCTTGAAAACCAGGCCTAGGTGGAGCAGAAGGTGTTGTGTACACGTGTGTGCTTTACAGTTGGACACAAATGGCTTGAGTCCAACTTCTCCATTCAATATCTTACATACTGCAGGTCTTTCGCCTGAGGGGTACTGTAATCTTCAAGCATCCCAGAATCCCCTGACATCCTTGAGGCCAGAAATTCATTCCTCTGGGAATCCATAAGGCAAAGCTGGGTCACCATTGTGAAGCAGGTGCTTGACTACAGACCTCACCCTTCTTCCACCCCTTCCCCATACTCCTCCTCCAACGCTCTGTCCAGGGATCTGACTCAGGAAGGGCAAGTGAGGCAAAAATCTTGGGTTACATTCCTGGAGAGGGGGGAGATTGAACTGGCAGACAAAGTGAGATGTCATGCCTGGAGGCTAGCCAGGGTCCATGCTGGGCAGAGACACGGCAGCCACAGCGCCCCCTAAAGGGCCACCTGAGGCTCTGGGCTCCCAGCAAGAGGGTAGGGCTCACTGTAAACCATTCATCCAAAGAAATTCTTCAAAGGCTCCTGACACATTTTCAGTGGATTTGGAGCTTTCTTAACGAGGGGATCTCGGGAGAACTGTCTCTTCCCCTCCCCGTCCCATTCTCACTCTGGATCAGGCTCCTTGTCCCGGCATTGAGCATGGCAATTTATTTTATTAATGTACACTTGAAGGGAAAATGCATCATTTCTGCAGGTCGACGGAAGAATCACCTGCAGGCTAGACACTCTCACCTCACCTCTGTCTTCGCTGGCGGGATTGAGTTGGGCTGGTAAGGGAGGCAGCAGGATGACGTTTGGGCACTGAGGTGGCTGGGCTGGGAGAAGGTGTGGTCTTTACCTGGTGAAGTTACAACTGCCCCAACTCCCTTACTCAGGGCCCAGAGTTCTCCATCATGCCTAGCCCTTTCTCTCTTTTCTCTTTGCAGTTGAAGACCAGCTGACACAAGCCTATTGGTGGACGGAGGGCTTTGAACTCCTGGAAATTTTGAGTCCTTCTCTGAACGCTCCTCCCCTCACATTGCTGTATCTGGGAGAGAGTTCTGGATGCTGGTGCCACGTGAGTGACCCATAGGAATGCCACTAGTGGGGCAAATGGGGTGTGTCCTGGGGCAGCACCAGTAACTCCCAGAAGTCATGGTCCTACAGCGCTGTAAGCTAACTGGGAAGACACAAAAGGCAAGGCTGTTGGCCTCAGTGGGGCTAAGGGGAGGTCATTACAAGATCAGGATATCTAGCTGAGGAAATAAAACTTTCAGTTAATTCTATGGACATTATAGACACTGTAGGAAAAGATAAATCATTTCCTGGGAGTAAGAAGTGGAAAGGGAAAAAATGGCAGAGATCCAGTCTGATTCTGGAAAAAAGAAAAAGATTTTTCTTAGATTTTCCTTTAAAATGGCCACTAGAATATTCACGTCAATGAACTCATCATTACCATTCCCATCTAGAGGGTCAGGAATTACTCAGGTGACTCACATCCATAGCACCAGAAACCCCAGTTTACCTACACAACATCATCTTCCTGTATCCTTACAGCCCCCAAATTGATAGGGATCATTTAAGAGTTGCCAACATGGCTGGCTGGAGATAAGTGGTAGTGGTTAAGAGCACAGGCTTAGGAGCTCTCACTGTCTGTGTGCCCTTGGGCAAGTTACTTAACCTCTCTAAATCTTGGTCTCCTCATTTGAAAAAAGAGAATAACAAAGGTACTCACCACAAAGAGTTGCTTTGAGGATTGATATAATGTATGCAAAGCTTTTAGTACACAGAAAGCAAGTGTGTCTTGTCCAGTCCATGCTGGGCTCATCACCATCAGCACAGTATTATTATCATCATCACCATCATTATCATCACCATCATCGTCATATCACTGCAGCTACCACTTATTCAGTAAGGTGCCAGGCAGCCCATTTTAGCAAGTTTTTAATTATCACTAAATTCCTACAAAATGGGCCATTTATCCCTTAAACCTAACTTTTCACGGATCTGAAACCCTGGTCTCAGTGACTGACCCACTGTGAAAGTAGACCCAGAGGAAAGATGATGAGATTATAGTGATTTAAGCAGGAAGATGGAGGAATTTGTCAGGGCCCCATTCCTCACATGGGTCAGGACAGGCTCTAAGTTCATGGCAGAGTGGTACAGAGGAAGAAACATCAGGCTCTTTGTCCAGAGCCCATTACTCGTGTGAGGTTGTACCAGTCATCTACTGTCCCCAAACCTTGATTCTCTTCACCTGCAAACTGATGATAAGATAATAATATCTGCCCTGCCAACCTCACAGCGTGGACCTGAGGATTACAAGAGATATGGTATGTAAACTTGATGCATGGAAGGCGTTATTATTACACCTCCCAAGTAATTTGGACCTCTGCTCTGCTCTTTCCTTGTTTCATTCAAACACTACGTATTATGCAGAAGCCCTATTCCCACACCACATTTGTAAATCAGTGTGTTAATAGACAGGCATTCAGCTGCACATAATTAGACTTTGGCTAGTTTGCCTTGTATGTGTAGTCCATTATGGTCTGATTAGTCGGGAATTTTTAGAAGCCATTATTTTACATAAAAGCAGAGGGCCTGCTCTGAGATCTGGTGGTTCCACAGGAAAATCTAGGAGGCCCTGCTTAGTCTTGGCCATCTCTGCTACCTGCGGAAATGCCTTCAGCAAAGAGCCATTTATTATGCCCTCAGCTCTAACTGAAGACTAGTATTAAAAACGCCATTTGAAAGAAAGATAGTGTGGCTTTAAGAGCTTGGGGCTTGGGAATCAGAAACATCTGACTCAGATCTTTGCTCCCCCACTTGAAAGCCGTGGGACCTCCTGAATGTTAAGCCTTATGCTCTTTGGTCCTTAGGTTTTTTTCTTTTCTAAAGTGCACAATTGTGATTGGAAGGAAATTAAATAAAACACATATCGAGAAGAGTGCTGGCACCTATGTGGTAGGCTACCAAAAAAGTATAATTATTACCTTCTTTAAAATTCATAAAAAAAACATGTCAGTGCCTTCAGTCATTGTCCGCTATGGTAGTAAAAGTCTATAATGACCACATGACAAACCCCTCTTAGAAATTAGAGCCAGGGAAAGAAGTACGTCCTAAAGACCTATGTATTTGCTAGGTGAGTAAACTTATCTTTACTCCTTTAGGAGGAAATATCAAAAACTCTGCCTACAAAAATCCCAGAGTTTCTCAGGGAGTCTGAATCTAAAGTGGACTTTGCTAAACAATGACACAAAGAAGAGGCGTCTCATGTCAGACCAAGATGCATCTGAGGGAGAAGCTCTCCTCACTCCCAGCTCGCTACAACCCAAAGCTGGTGCTGAGTAGCCACTCACGAGTGCCAGCACATACAGGGATGTGCCGAGAGCTCAGGGGATGGAGTAACCAACAGAACCAGTCCCAATCTTTGAGGAGTGCCTGGTCTGGGTTGGGAGTTGGGGGAAGGGGCGGGAATGAAGGCCCTGACTCCATGGAGACCCTAGTTTGATGGTGGAGACATAGTCTGTGTCCTTAGGGAGTTTCTGTTCTGACTGGGGAGACAAAAAAGATCAAAACAGAATGCTGTGTTTGGCCCTTTCTGCTAAGAGGTTCAGAGCCAAATTCAGTGGTCAATGCAGGAAGCACTCGATCACACCCTCTTAACATAATTATCTCCTCCCTTTCTCTGTGTGGCTTCTGATCATTACAACTTCATTTTAACAGTCATACTGAATCCAAATTGTCACTGTAAGCTGCTACATGACCTCCCTTCTTTTAACAGTATGAGCATAAATAGAAATAATTAGGTAACCCTATCTTTACTTAAAATTCCAGTACTGGAAAATAATGAACCAAAGATAGTGCGAGTGGGTTTGAGCTCCGTAAAGATCAGGGAGTTTTGTTCCAAAAACAGGCCCACAGGCCAGGCCTGGCTGTCACAGATCCCTCTGCCCAGGCCTGAGTGGCGACGGAGGGCAGTGCTCGCTACCACACTGGAGAGACTTACGCAAAAGACAAATTCCCAGGGCTCCATCCCAAACCTCTTGTGTCAGAATTTCCAGGGGTGTGGCCTAGGAAACCAAAGGCTTAACAAGGGCCCCCACATGATTTATACCAACAGGGAAGTTTGGGAAACACCAGGCCCAGTTTTTCTCTAAGGGTGGTGAGAAGACCATCAGAATCACCTAGAGGAGCTTCTTAAAATGCAGATTCCTGCCCCACCCGCCGCAGGCCTACGGAATGGGAATTTCTGGGCGCAGGCCTTGGAATATGCATTTTTATGCTGAATATGCATTCATCACCCAAAGTGGTACCTATGGGCTGATGTTTCCTCGCTGGCCCTCCTGCGGTGTGAGCCACTGCTCTTGAGGGGGCCAGGTCAGACTGTCTGGTCACAGTCTGCTTTAGGTGGCAGGAGCAAGGGAGATGGTTAAAATGTATAGCCTTCTTCTTTAGGCAGCTAAACATCACAAATCCCTCTACTATACATGAGGCTACGTGTAGAGCTCTCCTAAATTTTACACCCACCTTCCTCAGAAGCACTCAAGTTCTGACAGAGGGCTCCTTGCTATCTCTTTGGGCCTTTCACAGAGTGGAGTCAAAGCTTCAAGTCCTTTGTTTCCAAATCTTCTCAGCCTCCACTGTCCTGTTGTTCTGCCCCCTCAGTATACACCTTGACAGGGCCAGCTTTGGGGACAAGTGACCTGGACCTAGGCCAGGCGGGCACAGCATGAAAGGTGTGGAAATCAATCCCTCATGGTTGACATGGTTCTACTTCTGGGATCATCAGTTATGACTGTCTTAATTTTAGCCATCAGTGGAAGACAAGGCAGAGTGCACTTAAGCAGTGGGGACAGATCAGTCACAGCAGAAATAGACATTGCAAAGGGGTCACGTCTTGACTGAGGTTAGTCCTAACCGTCTACTTACCTTTATGTTGTCATCGATCCATCCATCCATGTGCCTACCCAACATTCCATAAATATATACACATAGCGCCTGCCAAGGCACCCGAAACATTAAGGGAATGTGGGTGGGCCTACCTACTTCCTCTCACATCCTTTTTGGCCAGAGATCAGGCAGTGACGGTATGCTTCCTGATTCTGTCTACACAGGTCCCTCATAGCACCTGTATGGCTTCGGCCGGGCCTTGGATCCAGGCGGGCTGGAGTGGCCACCACCAGCAGATCATTCGGAGAAACATCTTGGCCGTGAGAACTCTGCAACAGGAGGAGGGAGGAGACGTCCAGCTGCCTCTTCTTGCCAGAGCTTCGCCTGTGGAAGTAGCACTCCTGGGTGAGGGAGGGGTGTTCTGGAACGGCAAAGTCATTGACATCATCAAGTTGTGCTGCTGGCCTCAGACAGATTCCTGGCAAAGGCCACCTCCCACCAGGGTCCCCTGACCTAAAACTAGTGGAAGCTCTCAAATCAGAATTAGCCATTACTCCTTTCTTCCAAATAGTTTCTCTCCCTGTTTTTTCATACTGTATGCCCCCAAGTGGCACAGGCTGAGCTGACTGGGCCTCAACCGAATGAGAACCAGGAAATGTTGAAGAGGGTACTGAAACATAGCACTCTATTTTTATTTTTCTTATCTTCTCAATAAGACTAGAGACTCCCTAAGGACAGGGACTAGTCTCCACCATCAGACTGGGGTCCCTCTGAGGGCAGGGACTGCAGCGCCCCCCTCAGGCTGAGTGCTCCCCTAAGATGAGGACTGGTCCTATTGGTTACTCCATCCCCTAAGCTCTTGGCACATCCCTGTACACACCGGTACTCACGTGACTGGTTACTCAGCTTTGGACTGTGGTGAGCTGGGAGCAAGGAGAGCTTCTCCCTCAGTCGCATCTTGGTGCACAGCTCTGACATCAGATGCTCCTTCTTCATGGTATTCTTTAGCAAAGTCCAGGTTGGGTTCAGACTCTCCAAGAAGCTCTGGGATTTTGTAGGCAGAGAAATTTTTGATATTTTCCCCTGAATGAGGTGCTGGGAGATTTGATGCTGCTTGTACTTAAAGGAGACCAGCCTGTCCATCTCTGGGCTACTGCATTCAGAGCTTGTTGTCACGGTCACGCTTGGCAGAGACTCAGGAGAGTCTGAGACCTGGGTAGTGGATTCTGGGGAGGTTTCTACTGAGGTTAGAGGCTGGAAGAGAAAACAGTCCAAAATGAGATTGCAGAAAGCAAAGGGCTCCTTCCTATGCCGTTCTTGATAAAACAGAGTAAGAGCTGAGTTCATTGGCAGCAGGAAAGATTTAGGTTAGAATAGTTTCCTAATAATGAATTGGTTAAAGGTTAGGGCGGAAGATGATGGGGAATGCCCACAGAGCCTCCTCTGGAGGTCTTTAAACATGAGAGAGGTTTCAAACAGTATCTTGTATTCAGAAAAATAGGTATTATTTCACAGCTCTTAGACTGGCAAAAATTAGAAAGCTATCAGTGTTGGTGGGATGTCTGGGTATAGGGATTCTCGTGCACTGCTGATGAAAGGTAGACTGGTACAGCCATTCTGATGAGCCATCTAGAAATACTTGGTAAAATGGGATTACAAATATCCTGTGACCCAGCAATTCCGCTCCTAGGTATACATACTAAATAAGTTATTAGATAGCTCCTTTAAAAAAAGTATGTACATTAATGTTCCTGGAAACATTATCCACAATAGGTGAAAGGTGAATACAACCCAAATGTCCACCAACAGATAAAGAATCGATAAACGAAATGTGGTAAATATATACAATGGAATATTATTCAGCCTCAAAAAGGAAAGACATTCTGATACATGCTACAACATGAATGAATTTTTTTTCCTTCTTCTTCTCTCCAAAGCACCCCCAGTACATAGTTGTATATTCTAGTTGTGAGTGCCACCGAAGCAGAGCACATGAACTTAACCACTCGGCCACGGGGTGGGCCCCTGGATGAACTTTGAAAACCTTATGTTAAGTGAAATACGCCGGATATAAAAGTAGAAATATTGTATAATTCTACTTATATGAGGTACCTATAGTAGTCATAAAGGCAGAAAACAAAAGAGAGAGGAACAACGTAAGGCAGAAAAAATATTTGAAGAAATAATGGCCATAAAATTCTCAAATTTGGTGAAAGACATTAATTTGCAAAGCCAACAAGCTCAAGAATCCTAAATAGAATAAATACAAATAAAACTAAATCCAGACACATCATATTGCATTTCAAATTGCTAAAATCCAGGGATTAAAGACAGCAACCAGAGAAAAATGACACATTACATATAGGGGAAAATGTTATGAATACAGTTGACTTCTCATTTAAAAAGAAAAAGAAGAAAACCAGAACTTTTTTTTTTGAGGAAGATTAGCCTTGAGTTAACATCCACTGCCAATCCTCCTCTCTTTTTGCTGAGGAAGATTGGCCCTGAGCAAATATCTGTGCCCATCTTCTTCTACTTTATATGTGGGACGCCTGCCACAGCATGGCTTGATAAGCAGTGTGTAGGCCCGTGCCTGGGATCCAAACCAGCCAACCCTGGGCCACCGAAGTGGAGTACATGAATTTAACCACTACATCACCAGGCCAGCCCCCAGAACATTTTTTAAATGCCGCAAGAAAAAAAAAATATCATCCAGAATTCTAGGTCCAACTAATATATCCTTAAAAGTGAAGACTAAAGACACTTTCAGATAAACAAAAACAGAAATTTCATCACCAGCAGATAGACATGCACTACAATAAATACTAATAATATGTTAGTTCAAAAGAAGGAATAAGTTTCCTATATTTAAAATTAAGTACAACTTTACCTCTAAGTAGATTCTGACAAGCTGAAGATGCATATTGCAAGCCCTAGAATACTAAAAAAAAAAATGCAAAAAGTTCTAAATAAAAGAAAACAGAGGAATTAAAACTAACAAATATCCAATTTTCAGTTAACCCAAAAGAGGGCAGAAAAGGAGGAACACAGGAAAAAAGGCAAAAACAGAAGAGATGAATAGAAAAACAACATGCTAGATGCAGACCTACGCACCGCTTATTGGGCCATGCTGTTGCAGGATCCCACATACAAAGTGGCGGAAGATGGGCACAGATGTTAGCTCAGGGCCAATCTTCCTCAGCAAAAAAAAAAGAGGAGGATTGGTGATGAATGTTAGCTCAGGGTTAATCTTCCTCAAAAAAACCCACAAAACAAATAAAATTTCAACCCTAAATTCAATCATATTAATAATTGTATTAAATGAAAATAGAGTAAACACTCCAATCAGAAGGCAGAGGCTGTCATACTGGGTGTCTTAGGTCTGTCTATAAGAGATGTCCTTTAAATACAATGAGAAAAATGAGTTGAAAGTAAAAAGATTTAGAGGCAGGCCCGTGGCCCTAAGTTTTCACGCTGTGCTTCGGTGGCCCAGGGCTGTGCTGGTTCAAATCCTGGGTGCGGACCTGGCGCCACTCATCAGGTCATGCTGAGGCAGCATCCCACATACCACGACTAGAAGGACCCACAACTAAAATATACAACTATGTGCTGGAGGGACTTTGGGGAGGAGAAGAAGGAAAAGTGAAATCTTAAAAAAAAAAGAAAGTAAAAGGATTTAAAAACAAAGATATATCATGCATGCACTAGTCACAACCAGCAGGAGTGGTTATATTAATATCAAACAAAATAGATTCTAAGATAAGGAATATTATCCGGGATAAAGAAGATTTTATTTCATGATGATAAAAGGTCACTATCAAAAAGATAAAATGATTTAAAAAGTGTACCTAATAAAAGAGCTTTAAAATACATGAAATAAAAACTGACAGAACAAAATATAGAAATAAACAAATCCACAATTGTGGGTTGAGATGTTAACATCCCTTTCTCAGAAATTAACACAAAAAGGAGACACCAAATTAGTCTGAATATGGAAAATCTGAACAATTATCAACCACAGTGATCTAACTGACACGTACAACACATACTCAACAACCGTATAATACACATTCTTTTCAAGTGAACAGGGAACATCCATTGAGATAAATCATTTGCTAGGCCATAAAATAAGCCTTGATAAATTTTAAAAACACTGAAATTTTACAAAGTATGTACACTAACCACAAAAGAATTAAATTAGAAACTAGTAACAATAAGATATCTAGAAAATTCCTAAATATTTAAAACTTAAACAATACACTTCTAGATAACCCATGGGACAAAAAGGAAATTAGAAAACATTTTAAACTGAATGATAATAAAAATGTAACACACCAAAATTTATGGTATGCAGATAAACTAGTGTTTACAGAGAAATTTATAGTGCTAAACACTTATATTAGAAAGGAAGAAAGGCTTAAAATAAATAATCTAATTTTCCACTTTAAGAGGCTATAAGAAGGTGATTGAATTAAACTAAAAGCTGGTAGAGAGAAGAAAATAATAAAGATAATACTGAAAATCAATGAAATGGAAAATAAACTGTAGAGAAAATCAACAAAGCCTAGCATTGGTTCTTTAATTAATAAAATTGATACACTTGTTGTAAGATCAAGATAAAGAAAGAGGAAACACAAATTACTTTTATCAGCCATGACGGAGCATATCACTATGGATCCTGAAGACATCAAAAGGATAACGGGAAAATCTTAAGTGACCAGAAGAAGTAGCAGTTTGGTTCTTGTTCTAGGTAAGATGGATTAAGTATGTTATATCCTGTCTCTCCCACCGATTGTACCTATAAAACCTGCACGGAATGCATGCATAAAGTAGCTCTTTGAAAATTTTGAAAAGTAAGCAGTAGCAGGCATATTGAGAAAGATGAGAATTCAAAGTACCAGCAAGGCAGCAATGAGTTGACTGTCTTCCTTCCCGCGTCCCCTGACCTGAACTCAAGGCAACTCAAAACTCAGAAGTGGGTACTGGGGAGTAGACAGAGAGATCTCTAGGAGAAACCCTACAGTTTTGGTTCAAAGATCTTTTTTTCTTCTTTTCTTTGCTCCACGCTCTTGAGCCCCCACCTCCATGAAATCCTGACGTAGTGGCAGCAGTGGCAGCAACAGAATCACCAGCCGGCCTGAAAGAACCTGAAGCTCTGAGGGAGAGGAACCTTCCTCTCCAAGTGGAAGAGCTGCGGTCCCAAGAGGGTGGAGTGACCCCCTAATACTTTTTTCTCTCTGTGATCTCCTGCCACTTGACCCTGGAAGTAGGTATAGTCACAGGAAGTGTGCCACAGAACAGGGTAACTAAAGCTCCAGGTTTCAGGCCAGAAGCCTCAAAAAAAAAAAAAAAAAATCAGAATCAGAAAAGATGATACGAGGGAGATTGTGGAGAGGAACGAACTTTGGAAAGTGACTCAACAAAGTGGCTTATGGATTCCTGGGCGCACCCCAGAGCTAGCCATGTGCAACTCTGACCCTAGACAGCTTACCAAAGACTTTGAGAACTGGACTAAGGGACAGATCACCCATGGAAAAGATCTGCCATGTGAACACTAGTCAAAGGAAAGATGCAGGGACTCTGTGAGTATCAGTCAAGGTAGACCGCAGAGCAAAGAATTACAAGTAAGAGAGAGAAAGAGACATCACATGACAATAAAAGGGTCAATTGGCCAAGACATAACAATCCTAAGTGTATATGTAACTAATGACAAAGCTTCAAAATACATGAAGGAAAAGCTACCAGAAATGAAAAGAGAAATAGACAAATTCACAATTATAGTTTGAGTTCAACTTTCCTCTCTCAGTAACTGATAGGACTAGTACACAGGAAATTAACAAAGTTGTAGAAGAACTGAACGACATCATCAACCAAATAGATCTGATTGACCCACTACCCAACAACAGCAAAATACAAATTCTTTTGACAGGCACATGGAACATTCTCCAAAAGAGACCATATCCTGGGTCATAACGTAAACTTTAGCAAATCTAAAAGAACTGAAATCATATAAAGTGTGTTCTCTGACTACATGGAATTAAAGTAGAAACCAGTAACTGGAAAATCTCTAAACAATTGAAACTTAAACACACTTCTAAATAATCCGTAAGTCATAAAGGAAGTCTCAAGTGAAATTAGAAAATATTTTAGACTAAATGAAAATGAAAATACAATACAGTCGTGTACCACAAAATAACACTTTAGCCAACAATGGACCGCGTATACAACAGTAGTCCCATGAGATTAGTACCATA